GTGTTTATCTAGTTCCAATGTCTAGAGTTCATACCGTTTGACATCCAGAGATGGGATATGAGGACACTGTGGAGTGGAAATTGGGAGACAGAGGGAGGGACAGGTAGAGACAACTAAAGAACTCATATGCTAATTCTGACAAAATACACATAATACGTTTCATTAAGTCGCTTCCCTTGGATGCACATATGGGAGGACGTACTTCACTGCATATATTGTCTGAGTCTGGACAGCGATGTAAACTGCAACCTGAGAAGCATGATGCAGTAATACTAGTTCCTTCTTTATTCTGGTTGCATTTTCACACTAAGTGAGCAGTTTGTGTGTGTGTGTGTGTGTGTGTGTGTGTGTGTGTGTGTGTGTGTGTGTGTGTTGGTTTGTACCTTATGGGCTGATGTGCGTGGGTTAATGAAGAGCAGTAAATGAAATCCTTTATTGTGTTTGATATAATGTCAGCTTCCATTAGGGAAACTGGTGCTAGGAATGATTGCGAGACTATCGGGGCCAGGAGAGAGGTGCATTGTGTGTGTGTGTGTGTGTGTGTGTGTGTGTGTGTGTGTGTGTGCGTGTGTGTGTGTGTGTGTGTGTGCGTGCGTGCGTGTGTGTGCGTGTGTGTGCGCGTTTTTCTGCATGCTTGTGTGCACACCCCAGGGCACGGCAGAGGCACAGAGTGTGTTCTGTAATTATAAAATCATTAGCAGGTGTCCAGAGGAGATATGAATATGACTGTAATCTGTCCCCACCCATGATGGAGCGCTTGTCTCACACTCAAATGTCAACCTGTCTCAGCCAGCCCATTGAGAGAGCTCACAGATTCAAATTCAAAAGATTTAGTTCCAACGACCACACTCAGTCATAACATGTAGCCCTCCATATGACAGCGTTTGGTATGTACAAGCCATTTTTCAGTCGTATTGTTATTCTGTGCTTTACGGGATAAATCATCTCTCAAGGTCCTCTTCACATATGATAAAATTTTGGACTTTAAAGGCTCTGACATTTACTCGCAAGGAAGATTTTGAAGTTTCAAATGTGTAACTGCAAGCAAAAAGATGACATTAAAATAGTATGCGCATACCAATGACATGAAACATGCTGGCAGAAGAACAACCTCATAGTCAGAGAGACTGACAGGCGTACAGACAAACAAAAGATAGGCAGGCCTGCATCTGGTCAGACATAAAAACGAGCAGACATTGTAGCCCTGGCAAGGAGACAAAGTCACATTGTAATCTAGAGCAGAGGGGCGGTTTCTATAGCAACAGTAGGCATCTAACCTACGCGCCGTTGCTTTTGCTGAAATCTGAAATTGGCGAGAGGAGGCTGGTATTGAGGATAGAGAGATTGGGAAAGATGAAGATAAGGCAGGGCAGGGAGGAGGAGGAGGAGGAGGAGAGATGGGGCAAAGGGAGGAGGGAGGAAGCAGATCGAGATAAGGGTGAAGAGAGGAGGGAGGGTAGGAGACGAGCGGAGGAAGATTGATGTAAGGGAGGGGCTGGAGATCATCACCTGACCTCAGTGTTTGTCTCCTGTTTGGAATTTGTTGGTCCACTCAGCATGATAGATTTAATTTACTGATAGCACTTTGTGTCAGTGGGAATTTCTCAGACTTTGTGTGTTTCAGTGTGTGCATCTGTTGTGTGAGTGTGTAGGCACAGACTTCTACGCACACTCACTCTGTATATATATTCACAAGTGCGTACATGCTGTATATGAGTGTCTGTAAGAATAGGGTTATGTATTATATATGTGTATGTGTGCCCGGGTGCACAGGGCCCGGAGAGACATGAGTGTGGGATAATTGCTGGCATGGTGTTGTATCAGATGTGTGTTTAACCCAGAGCCTGAGCCCATAGAGACCTATGACCAGCCGCAGCAGATGGCCGTGCAACCCTGGGGGGGGGGGCTGCTCAGAGGGTCATGCTGGCCTAGGACTCGTCCACATGGAGCTACCTTTTCTGTGCTTGTCTGTGCGGTGCGTCTCAGATCGTGTGGTCGGATGTTGTTGCGTTCATGAGTAGAATCGGTGTAACTCTAGGCGCTTGTCTAATTATGTTTAGAGGTTTTATTTCCATCATATTGCAAGAGACAACAACTTTATCCCGATAAATTCAAGTACAATTTATATGTAATCTGAGTGAAAGCGGTAGTGTTTACACAGAGATTATTAATTTAATCAGAAATACTGTGGTTGTGCACAGTTGTAAGTCTTTATTAATGTATTTGTCAACAACTGCAAATGAAGGTGATGTATAAACAGATAAAGAATTAAAATATAGAACAGGAAAAGTTGTAATCGCTGACAACAGTTACATCTGCTAACAACTACATCATAATGTAGCCCAGTTATTAAATGTTAATATACCGCTTATGATCGCTAAATCTGTGGACTAAGAGAGGTAAGACAGTCGCACAAGGAGGCGTTATGTGTAATACTTCAACTAATGCTGCTAATACTGAAGTTTTATTGTAAGCGGTGATCACTGTATGTACATGGTGCAGATTCAGCGGGAGTGATATGCACAGGGTGACGGTGCAGGAAGGTAAACACGGCTGTCCAGCTGTGCAAACAGACATGATACCAATGACATTACTAGTACAGATATGTGACAAATAGAAGGAAAAGCCAACATAAAATGTCTTAGAAAGGTGTCTGGCACCAGTAGCCAATACCGCAGCTAAAATATTCGCTGGCGCACTGATTGTCTAACGCTTCTAAATAACTCTATAAAATCTCATGGATGTATTCAATTGACTTGAGATCTTTTGACTGCAAAGGCTGTAGCATACATGGATGATTCACATAATTTTTTAGATTGCCCTGTGCATTTATGTGTATGTTTTCCACTTATTTATTCAGTCTTTTCTTTTATTTATCACCTGTCTGTATATATATATATATATATATTTTAGCTGCTATGATGGATATGCAAAATAACAATGCAGTGAACAAGTGTAAGCAAGGGTGCTATAGTGTTGGACTCCAAACTGAAGTCTGTCTGCAGTAATGTGGGGTATATTTTTTTGAGTGTATTGTTTGTTTGAGTAAAGCTGCTGGACAGTGTCCCTTGGGTGCAAGGAACCAAGCGTTTATTTACAGAAAACAATCCTGAATAATGAGTTGTAATGCCGCAGTAGTGCGAGTAAACTCTTTAGAAGCGAGGGACCAGTCTGAGCAGGACTGGGCTCCAGATCAATCCTGCTGGCAGACACAACAACACTGTTGCTCTGCCACAGTCTCTCTCCCTCTCTTTCTCTTCTCCCTCTGCAGAGGCACGGGCTATTTTTAGCCCTGGCAGCTCTTTCCCCACTGCACCCACCGTCACCACCACCACCACCACCCATCTCTCTCCTCTCAATTCATCCCTTCATATCGCCCCAACCTCAGCCTCCATCCTAACCCTCCAACTTAACCCAATGTGCCCCCTGAACGAGCCGCTCTGATCTCTTCCCTCTGCACCTTTCTTTCCATCCTCACTTCCTGCTCTCTCTTACAGAGTTTGGGAGGGAAAGAACAAGTGCTGGTAAATTGAGAGGGGACGTGTCAAGGGGGTGGGGGGCAAATTGTGCTCCTCCTCTATCTTGTCCACTCTCATTTCCCAAAGACACCAGCTGCGTCCAGGCTGGCCAGCCCCATGTTTGGTGTCAGCGAGAGTTTTCATTATGCTGTGTTTCTTTGGTGAGTTGTTAAGGACTGAACTGAGCTGATGACTGACTCTCAGATTAGCACTGGAGGCCGGCCAAGAACCCGGTCGTGGTATCCAGAGAGGCTCTCACGCCGAAGGGAACTGCAAGAAAGATTGGGGGCTGACAGAGAAAGAAAATACTTGTGCATATAGGTGTGTGTGTGTGTGTGTGTGTGTGTGTGTGTGTGTGTGTGTGTGTGTGTGTGTGTGTGTGTGTGTGTGTCAGAGAGAGAGTGTGTGTGTGTGTTTCTGCACAAGTTAAACAAATGAAGAGAGCGTGTGTTTGTGGCAGCAGGAGACAGAGGAAATACAGTGAAGAGCAAAAAGGTGAAAGCGAGCAAGAGACAAACAGATATTGACAGAGCAACGTCAAGCTGAGCGAGGCAGTGTGTAAGACCCACTGTACCTGCACAGAAGACTCGCTCTTTCTCCGTCAGACGCTCTCCCTCGGCAGACCATGACCACAGCTCTTCCAGTGAGGGCGAGTCAGTCACTGTAGTGCCCTTGAGAGCGCATCCTCAGCCAGCCTCCTCATGATAATGAGGCAGGCCCCACGGACGCTGCTCGCTCCACGCAGCCGCTGCCCGCCCTCACACCTGCCTCTACACGAGATAAGGACAACAGTTCAAAGGAGAAGAGGACGGCAGGGAGGCTAACAGGGGGTCTTGCTCGGGGTAAAGACCAGGAGGTTGGTGGTTGGTGAGGGGCTTCAGCTGGTGACTGGAAAATTTAGTCAGTAATTAGAGCAAAATAGAGTAAGACAATGGCATAACTTTACATTCTTTTTTCTTCTTCCTTTTCTTCTTTTCTTTTTCTCTTTCTCTCCTCCTGTGAGAGCTGAGAAATCACATCCAGCTGAGGTTGATAAGACTCCCAGAGAGAGTAATATTTTGAGTTTATTCTTCTCTCACTCGCAACCCACTTTACTCCATGATACATCTGAGTTCATACGCCACGCAAACGCAGACATTTTCTTTAACGGTTCTCCACAACACATGAAGATGTTCCGACGGTGTTGTAAACACAAGTTCGAACATGTGCCACATACATTGCATCTTATTGACAATAGCATTGCGCAGATGCATTACATCCTTCAGTATCTCTACAGCTATCTGCTCGCCTTTTCATGACTGTCATTCCACATCACACTACTCCTCCTGTGTTCTGTGATGCTGATTATATTCTCATGCTGAACGGTGTGATGGAATATAACCATGACTTTCTCTAGCTTACCACCACGAAGAGACGGGGCTGTTACAGGCGCTGCTATATCTTCTCTCATCACCTGTCTTTTCACTTTTCTTTTCTGCACAGGAGAATGCCATTTCATACTACGATTCCAAAGCGGATTCAGACTATGTGAGTACAGTATGGACTGCTTCGCACTCCCCCCGTCTGCCTGCCTTAAACCCCCGAATCCTACCCACTCCACTTCCTATCCCTGCCACCCTTTCCTGCAACCCCACCCCAACCCTCCCCCTCCTGGCCTCCTCGGTGTTGATGCCCCCCCACCACCACCACCGCCACCGCCACCGCCTCCGGTCACAGGCCCCTGGGCTGTCTGTGTGTGTTAGTGAGGTGACACTGCTTTATGGTGAGTTAGTGTGACAGAGCAGGAGAAGGCCGACGTGCATGTGACAGTGACTTCAGCTGTCCTCCCCCGGTCTAATTTCCAGAGTTTTCTCCTTCTCCTTTTCCTCACGGACCCTAACAGTGTCAACTGCGGACCTGAACTTCAGGGTTGTCAGACCTCTGCGTCCATCAAGACACCTTACACAATACACAAGCCATATCGCGCTTTCATGTACTAGGACACAATTTATATAATGCCTGTCATTCATACTGAAGAATACGAATGACATTCAGAGAAAGGCCTGCAGGCTGGGAAATGCAGTTTCATCCAGAAAAGCCCTGCAAGTCACTGGTCTCTCTCACCACTCTGGCTGCAACCTCCAGTTCCTCCTCAGGATAGGTCACACTCAGAGCCTGTGCCCGCTGATTGATTAAGTTTCATGGAGGAGTGCAAGAAACCCCCCTAGATCACCAAAGCACAAAAAGATGGGGAGAGAGTGAGATAGAGAGGGGAAGAGAGTGAGAAAGGGAGGCGAAGGAGCAATAAATCACGGTGTGATTTTCTCTTTGTGCACACCACTTCTGTGATTAATGACACAGCGCTTTAGGGCCTGTCAGCACATCTAATTGGAGAACATCGGTCATCATTAACATGGCACACCGAGGCCGAGCCAGTGACACACCCCCTGACCCCCACTTTACCAACCCCACACCCTCCCAAAGACAGCGGCGAAGGTCAGGCAGAGGTCATTCCTCATCCCTGCAACCCCAACAGTAGCCCACCAGTACTCCCCTATCTGAATCTTGATTCCTCCCATGATGACCCATTTCAATTAAGGTACTACCGCTGGAGTGAAAACTATATGATGAGAATTCAGTTTCACAAAAGGTAAGTGATTGGTAGGCTCTCTTATCCGAGCCTTGTCTCCTCTGTTCCCTGTCCTGTACTCCACACCCTGTTAATGTCTCCACTTGTCACTGTACCCTGATATGAAAGAGCAGTGTGATAATCTAAAAGTCAGAACTGCTCGAGGCCAAAATCTGTCTAATATTGATTCCAGCATTTTATTTGCCACTTTCAGTTGTATACAAATACATACATTAGCACTTTCTTCCCCCCCCCCCCCCCCCCCCCCACACACACACACACACACACACACACACACACACACACACACACACACACACACACACCTCGTCCCCCATAGAAGATTATAAGGTGTGCTTCAACAGGGAGCAGAGAAAGCATCCTGTGTGGAAATGCAAATATTCTTTGGTCTGCATGATCCCACTTTCACTGAAATACTTTTATCTGTCTGGTAGAAAAATATTGTTAGTCATGTCCCTAGGTAGTAATTTATTTTGAGGACAACCATCAAATACATTATTACAACTCTGATTATTGTAATATTAAGTCAAAATCGAAAATATTTTTCTTGCTTTGTTTTTCTTTTGCGGCAGATTATATTGTGACATGTATTCAATATCTCAAAAGCAGCTATTTACCAAATGTAATGTTATTCCTTCTGAAGGAATCCTCGTTTGGTAAAAGAACCAGGCTTTCTTCCTGCGCTCTTTCACGTAAACACCCACTCCCACACACATACACACACAAACACGAACAAACACACACAGGGTCATAAGTGACAGCCTTCAGGTTAGCCCTGGTTGGCTGAAGGCGGGAATTAAAGAATCTTCAAAATGTCATCTCTGGCCTCTTCAGCCTTTAATTAAACCTTTAGAACAGGGAGTTAAAATTAACAAATTGGGTAATGAATCGAGCAAAACAGGTGGTGGATGGTTGAAGAAAATGAACCAATCAGTCTTTCCTGCGTGGATTTATTCCGCTCCTAATTAGACGCTGCTTTGGTTAATTATGATTGGGCTCTTCTGAAGAAAGAAGGGGGGAAAAAAAAGCACCTCCCTGCCCGACATTGACAGAATTAGTGTCAGACTGAGTGATACACAAACACCTCAACCTCACAGTTGAAAAGCCAGCATCCCTAACCTAATCAGGTTTAATATTAATGGATAGTCATTCTGTGAAATCTCTTTACTGTGTCAACAAATCTGTACTAAACCAACATTAATCCAAGTACTGGAAGCTCTGTATGTCTGCCACAGCAATGTCAATTACAAACAACTACAACATCCATATTGAATTAGAACAAGAGAAGATCATACTACCACCTTTATTACATTGGTTAACTGATGGTGACTCATTTTCTTTTTGAATGAGCACGGAGTACGAAGGGAGTGTGGAGTGTGCCAGACTGCAGCCTCAGGTCAGGTCCCGGAGGTGTAGACTAAAAACAGGAGGCGGCCAGGCTTGTCCCATCAGGCTCCCAGAGTAAAACTAATTAAAACCAATCATTTCTATAAACGTCACTGCACGTAATGACCATTTCCAATAAAACTAAGATATCAGTTAGACAAGATCTTGCCTCTCACTCATCTGAACGAGCTGTCTGACGAACTCTCATAAAAAAAAGTTTGTTGGACAACGAAGCACCTCCTGCTTTTGACATAAAAAATGAAGAGATGTGCTACAGCACCATAGCAGACAGCCAAGACAGCCCTGTGCTACTGCTCAGCCTTTTTATTTTAGAAAATGTAATACTAATGGTCATACTCACCAGTATTTTTTAACAAGCTTGGCCAGCTCTACATTTACTTTCATTACAGCCTTGGTTATTTTTAAAACCTTGACTAGAAAATATTTATTTCTCCTTAAAATAAATAACTTTTGTCGTTCCTAAAATGCCATCAGATTTAATGTTAACACAGATTAATAACTGCTTTTGCTGAACATTTAATTTGATGAGGCTGAATCATTGGCGTTGTCGGGTGTCAGGTGGGTCCACTCACAACATATTCATCTATCCTGACAAATTTGCTTCACATCTCTCCTGCACTTTTATGTTATAAGAGTTGTAGAAATGAGAGATCTCTGTTACAGCACTGAATTGTTTCTTATGTTGACTTTCAATGGGACTTCAACACAACTATCCCCCGGCTCATCCCACCCAACAGCTTGTAATTGCATTTTAATAGGCCCATCAATCAGTTTCTGCCATGGACATGGGGTTTTGATTTAATTTCTCAAAAAAAACAAACAGTTTTTATCATGTCAGATCCAGTTAACCCATGCTGCTTTATTAAAATGAGAAGTTTATGTTGCAGCCGCACATTTGATACACTCAAAAGATTTATTTTGAAGTCAAATTCGCTTTTCAGCAGGCGGGGATGCATGAGAAATCATCAGAGATATGAGTTTTGTTTTACAAATATTCAATGAATGAAGGCTAATGAAGGGTGACTAATAAAGGAAGAATGATAGAACCGTGATGCCAGACTGTGCTAAGGGCTACTTCTGTATGGCAGGGTATCAAAGAGCTTGGTGCATGAGCACACATCAATGAAATTGTGTTTATTTAACAAAGAGGTCATTTATAAAACAAACTCGTACATTTTAATTTTTGAATGTTGTTGTGTAAATGTGACCACGGCACTTACGGTACATGCTGTTTTCTAAGGATGTAGCTAACAGGGATTTTTAGTGAGCGCTCGTAAGCATTCGCACTGAAATCTGATCAAGAATAAGCTAATAAACTGAGCCAGAGAGTGGGGTTATATCTTGCTGCCATTTTTTTTTTCTCCACATCCCACAATCACTTCCTCCTGTGGGAACAGGCACAGATTGTACTCGATTGATAACTTATCAAGATAAAAAGCTTAAATGTCAGTTTTGCCTTTTTATCTTCTGGCTTTCTTCGATATCTGACACTTTCTAATGCAAAATGTGTGTCAGGCTTTCTCATCATGTACAATGGCCAGACTGAGAACATGAAAAAAAGTCAACACATTTTAGAAATATTAGTATTAGCCCGTTTTTTTTATTTTATTTTATTTATTTATTTTTTTGTTTGTTTTGTTAGACACTCGCAAGCGAGAGAGAAGAAACGGTCTGTTATGAAACCTGCTATCATTGGAATGGGTGGGAGACTATACAGTGATTAAGTGGTGTTGGTTGCTAGTTATTGTTGGGGTTAATTTGTATGGCACCTCATGTGTCTGTGATAGTCATCTCGGGGACTAATGAGTCTCTCTGTTTGGTGTCTGCTCTGATACCTGCTGCTGTTCTCTGATGAGAGGGAGAGAATAGTACCGCCTAAATCTGAAGGCAGACAAAAGGCAGAATAATTACTATTTTTGTGCTTAATATTATCCAAATTCTGTGTGAGTTTCCGTGTGAACCAGAAAGCGAGACGATATACTGTATGTACCAGAGCCCCAGATGGGCGCTGCAAAGCCACAATATGGGAAATGACAGAATGCGGTACCATATTTGCATGTTTTCCCCGTTTTTCTATCCACTTATTTTTATTTGAATGCTCACTCGGATTTGTGTGTGTATGTGCGTGTGTGTGTGTGTGTGTGCGTGTGTGTGTGTGTATGTGCAGACGGAGGACGGAGAAGAAGAGAACCCGCTGGAGACCACAACCTCTTTGGAGCTGGAGTTTGTGGACGATCCAAACTTTAAAAACAAGGTCAACTACTCCTCCAGTGCGGTCCAGATTCCTACAGACATATACAAAGGCTGTAAGTACTCAAGAATGTTTTTTTCTTTATTTTATTTCTGGTGAGTGAGTGGCACTACATAATATTCACCAATTTACACCATTAAATTGTTGAATTCATGCACTAAATTAGACACTATTACAGTTAAGTAAATACTTTTGTATCACACACAGACAAATCAATAACCACTCAGAAAATGGTTTTTAAAAGCATGTAGCAAGTAACAATATGGTCATGGAAAACTGACAGACCTTGACCTTAGCTGAGGTTACATTAAAGGTCAGTGAAACAGCAGTTAGAGCGTCTTTAGCTATAGTAACATAATGTAACATATTTCTGACTGAAACAGAATTCATAGGGGAAGTATCGTCCCAAGAGAGATTTTATCAAATTGTTCAAAGATTTGACTGGATTAGTAAAAAGTAAGTTCCCTCACCTCTGTTGTTAGGTTCCTACTGCAGAGTTTGAGGGAGAGGTCAATTCAGTAGACCTCAGCCATGTTATTGTGGAAAGGTTTTTGGCAACTGATATCTTAAAACACGCCGCAAAGCCCATGATGTCACTTACGCTTAAAGCTCAAATGCAGTTTTATGTGATAGGAGGAGTTAACTGGTCAGCTCACGTCACATTTGATTGGATGAATTTATGTGAGTGTGAAATGAGTCATCAAAAATAATTCAACGTTTGACACATACCAAGAAATAACAGTTAACAAAAGGACACACAAAAATTGTATTGCATAATCTGTTGTTTATTTTACTGGGTCTTTAAAGCATGTTAACATGTGCAGGGCTAAGCCAAAAAAATAAAAAAAATTGTTTGGTATGCAACCTGGTGGTGATATTTACATCAGTTGATTCTGTGGTAATGGTTGTTCTCATGTAAGCAGATTGCAAAATAGTTGTGAGATCAGGAATTTCTAAAATATATATATATATATATATATATATATATATATATATACAGGGACTGTTGCCACTGCCTTAACTTGTATCATGCACGTACCAAAATGTCTCCTCTTGGTTTTCATAGATACCTCTGGGTCATGGAGAGATGTCTTTTGTTTTGACTTGACCTCTCCCCTCTCTCTCTCAGTACGTTAGCTCAATCTCTCCATTCTTTTATATCGCCCAGCACTTAAGCGCACTAACATGATTTTAGATGACAGACTCTCTCACGCCAGATTTGTACCGTTTTTTTTTTTTTTTCCCCTGCATGGGCATGGGCTTCCTCGCTCATGGACCCTGCCCTTCCTGCCTGGCACTGCGCTGCCCTGTGAATATAACACCCTCCTTAATCTGCAGCTGCCAAATGGACAAAAGGGAACACATGTACCTTCTGGGACTCTGATTTTGCTTGGCATGTTCCTTCTGTTACCCACCTCTAACCTTTTGGACACTCTCTGCCTGCCGTTTTAAAGGCTCAAAAACCAGAGCATGTGCAGACAGACAGCCATTTTCACAGTGGCAATTTTTTTCTGTCTGTTATTGTCTAGCTCTTTGCCTTCTTTGTTGAACAGGCTGTGTATGGCACCTGTCTGTAACAATGCCCTCCAGCTGTGTCTCCAGACAAATCTTGTCTGAATTAGACACTCTTGGTTCAGGAGGAGATGTCAGAGGCCACAGCTAACTCACAATAGAGCAATCAGGCTTGTACATTGTTCCCAGAGCCATTTTGTGCCAGTCTTGGTTCCCCTGTCTGAAGATATGAGTCAGAGAATAAAGGCCTCTTGATTGAGCCTGGTGGAGACTAGAGGAGTAGAGTGGTACAGTTCATGGAATTAGTTTTTTTTTCACTTCTGTTCTGTGGAAAATGTTTACTGTTGATGTTGTTTAGTTAGCTCCCATTGCGCGGTCTGCTGTGCTGAGATTGCCAACTGCAGATTTTGTGCCAACTCCATTATGAACATGTGTGCTGTGTTTCAGGCGTTGATGATAAATAAACAGTGTTGAAAACCATGTTGCTGCCCAAATGTACAGTAATTCTTAAAGACGCTTTATCACCACACCAACTGTCCTGAACGCAAATATAGAAATTAGAAACATCTTGAGATGTTGAATGTGCAATGCAAGTTAAAGGGGAACTCAGATTTTACACATCAAAGTGTTAACAGGTCTTGGGAAGTACTGCGGCATACAGTATGTGAATAAAATTGTATAAAGGCTTCTGTGGCTCCAGAGGGAGCTGCGTGAAATCTGATAACTTGCCTCAAGAGATACCACTTGAGTCGGCATCTGTTGGGTCTAAAAATGAGGAAAATCAGTGGGTGTGGGGTTAGAAAGTAGTGAGCATAGCAGACGTCTGTAGCCTGCTCCCCACCCCTGTTTGAGGCTAGAGGCTCGAGGTTACATTAGCCACTTCTAGCACAACACATTCGAATCTCTGATCAAACTCTCAGCAGGCGAGGTGCCTTGTGGGTAATGTAGGCACCAGGTATAAGAATGCGTGGAGTAAAAAAGACAATATCTCTGGTTTTGCTGCATTGATTTTTATCCATTTTTTAAAACTTGACAATGTCATAGAAGTGCAATGCTGAATCAGAGGAGCAATGTTTTTAACTAACTTATTTTACAGAAATTTACATCAATACATCAATAGCTTTAGAGAGTTGGTGGAAGTGGATGATTATCTATGTGAGGTGTTCTGCTCCGGTCCCATCAGTGGGAGCCTGCAGGGTGCCTTGGAGAGGATGTCTGAGGAAACGGACGTGGGCGGATTGTTGTCCTTTTGGGTCTGGAGAGGTCTGGATCTACAGTGTATCTGTGGGTATAGGATTAGCAGAAGAGAAGCAGTGTGAGTGGGTAGATTCAGTGCTCGCTCCTCAGGGGGAGGCCAGAGGAAAGGCAGAGAAAAGAAAACTGTAGGAAGAATGGAGCCCAGTCCAAAGTACAGCATAATGTTCAACAGTTATTGTGAAATTCTCAAGTGTTGTTTATTAGCACTTGTGCTTTATGTGGTTGGAGGAGCTTGCTTAGATTTGCACACATTGTTAATGCACTGAACAAATTGACTGTTTTCCAGCAAATGGAAGCTTGAATTGCCAGTCACATCAAAATGGGTGTCCTTAGAGATGGACTGAGAGAAAGGCACAGATAGAGGGATAGATAGAAGCAGAAGGGGTGAGAGGGGTACGAAGGAGAAGAGACACTTTAATAATAGCAACCATTTAGAGCAAAAAAATATTTTTTTTTTTTCAAATTTTTTTATTGTGATCCTTTCAGCAGCTAAATGAGGCGGTGTATGCGTCCTGGTTTGATTTGTCTGCTAGGCCCCATGTCCGTTTATTGAGATTGAGAGTGTTCCCTGAGCGCAGTAATGAACCATTTTATGATTCATTATCCCACTGCTGATTCCTGCTGCCAAGCCTGCAAACTTTCTAATTATCTTAGGTCAAACATTCATACAGTTTTCTTCTAATTATCGTCGCTTATTACAGGATGGACATCACAACACAGCCACAGAGGAGTAAATTGATGTGGGTGGTGTCATCTGTTGAGAAACGGGTTTTATTCTCCCACTGAATGTTACAGAAATTGTGAAGAAGAGGCAGAGATTTGCTGAATAATTGCAGAGGAAGGCCTCTGGGAATATAATCTTTAAAATAACTGAAAAATAAGGATGAAAACAGCGAGGGAATACACAAATTATTATTTGGTGACTATTTTGTAGATTCAGTGGAATCTCGCTGGTAATTGGAGTTCATGCTGCAGATAGAGGATACTAAGCCAGATTGGGTCATTCTTCAGTTGTATGTACATTATAACATGTTGAAAATATAGAAGGTTGTAAATCAGCTTTTTTAAAAAGGTAGTAATTATGTGTGAATAGTATAGACACAGTATATGCCTACATTAGTGTTTATATTAGAATAAGCAGCCACAATTCCCAGCACGGAATAGAGAAAACCACCAGTGAATGTGGGACGTCTTTTCATTAAATTTGAAGTTTAAATCCGCTCCATGCGGCGCCTTTTCCAGCGGCCTAACGTCATGTTGTCAGTTTTCTATTGTAGTCAGGCACAGTGAGAAACTTGGTTATCACAAATGAATGGCGAGGCCTGGCTAACTGTGTGTGCAGATGAAAGAGCAGAGCTTAAATGTTTTGCATTTCAGCCTACACACACAGATGCTCCACCATGTTCACCAGCTACTTGCTAACTGTGTTTCCCTGCCATTTGGTGCTGGTCATGTAGCGTACAGTTGGTTTTTAGAGCCCTTTTGCTGAAAACAGCTACCTGCTGCATCTGGAAACAGGCTTGATGAGAGTGAACCAAAACAATTACATGAAAGATGCTAAAACGCTCTGTAGAGCTGAGAGGAACTTCAGTTGGGTGATAATTCACGGCCGTGTTGAAATAGTAATTCAATCTATTGTTAATATAAAAATATTAATTAGAGCAGCTTTAACGGCTGGCCTCATAGAGTACATTAGTCTGTTTAATACAATAAAGAGCTGAAGTCACATTATTCCCCTGTTTGCTTAAACTTACATTAACTGATTTTTTTTTGGCCTCGTGGGTACAGTGGAAACAAGTTGTGAACACAATAACACATCATCACCTTTTATGTTGATATGGTGAACTTATGAGAAAAACAGTTGTACAGCAACAGCAGTAATGGAGCAACATTATCATACATTTGAAGTCGAGTTTCTGAGCGCCTAGTTAATGTAAGTCCAATATTCTCACTCTATTATCTCTGTTTCTGTTCTCCTGAGGGAAATATCTGGCTCTTTAGCTGCTAAATACTTCAGTGTGTTCTTCAGCTGGTTGCAAACTGTGTCTCTCTGCTGAGCAGGTAGTGTACAGTGGGTTTATAGAGCTCTTTTGCTGGAAACAGCTTGACTGCTGCGGCTGCAAACGATGCTATGAGAGCAGTGAGAGTGAAGCTAAACAGTAAATTTCAGCCAGACAGCTAAACGATGATCTGAAACCCACTATAAAGCTCTGTAAAGCTGAGGGGAGCTGCAGGTGATAATTCTGCTTGTGGTAATACTTGTAAGGTTCATCACTACGAGCAGCC